CTGAGCGGCGAGATGAAGCCACGGGGAGCACTTCTGTGTGTGTGTTTGCTGTCGCTATTTTAACAAATTCCCCTCCTGCTATTTGTTGTGGTTGATCCTCACCCGTGGATTTCCACCCATCGATTTTTAGAGAGAGAGAGAGAGAGAGAGAGACAGAGAGACAGAGAGAGAAACGTCGAAGTGAGAGAGACACATGGATTGGTTGCCTGCCGCACGCACCCTGACTGAGGCCGGGAATTGAGCCTGCAACCCAGGCCTGTGCCCTTGGCTGGAATCGAACTGGGACCTTCAGTCCACGGGCCGATGCTCTATCCACCGAGCCAAACCCGCTAGGGCTATTATTATTATTATTTTTTTTAACTTGAGCGTTCAAACGCGCTGTGTCTGGCTGGAGTTTAGTTTGAAGTTGCCGCCCCCCCATTCTTATGGAACGAGGCCCTGCACGCCCCCACCCCAGCCCTCCACTCAGTGTCATGTTACTGGCCCGGAGGTCCCTCTGCTAAAGCAGTTTAAAGAAGAACCGCATTCAAGATGGACCCACACCCGCCCCTCCACACGGCCCCTCCACACGGGAGGGCGGACTTCCCCACACCCTGCCTGGGGAGGCAGCGCCCCACCTTCCAGGGGGACAGCCCGCTGCAGGGGACAGGAGGGCAGCTGAGCGGCACGTGTCTGCCCTCAGGTCCCAAGTTCTGGACAGCTGGGAGGGCCACCTTCCCCCTCAACAAGGCTCAGAAATATCTGCTCAGCTCCCGGGCCCAGCAGACCATGGCCCTCCTGGAAAGGTCTCTGTGGGGCCATCGAGTGTCCCCCCAGAGTGTCCTCCTTAAGGACCGCGATGCCCGCAGCGATGGCCCTGGGTCTGTGCCCGGGAGCGGGATGCTGAGCGCCCACAGACCGAGCCCGGCCGGGGAGGGCCTGTGACCGCCTTTCTGCAGCCATTCCACACTTTTTAAAGCAGAAGCCGATTTTCAAACATCTTACGCCGAAGCCCAGTGTCTAAAACGGAGTGGATGCCAGAGCCCCTCAGCCAAACAGACCCCAATGCCCAACCAGGAGCCCCGCAGACATGGCCCGGGACAGAGTTTGAAAAGCGCCGCAGGGCGGAAGAGGGTGGCGGCGGCCGAGGTCGGACCCGTGTGGGTCACACACACGCAGTTCCCAGTGGCTACCTGTCGCTGGGTAACCCCAAGAACCTACGACCTGGGGACGTAACTCCTCGCCTCTCTCTTTGAGTCAGGGACGCCCTCCCAGGCTGGGTGCCCCCTGGGCTGGGCGGGAGTGGATGTCGCAGGCAGGCTATCCCGTGAGGCCGTCTCTCAGACTCTTCCCAGGACTCCGGGGTTGGGGCGGGTCCTGGCTCCCGCTTCCCCGTGGAGGCCATTCATGGGGTCCGGTTAGGGAGCGGGCCGGCCTCTGGTGGACACCCCGGCACCCACACGGGGTCCCTGCACACAGGCTGCCATGACTTTAGACAATGCCTGGGGCTCCAAGAGGAGAGACGGCCACTGGGAAGGGTCCTGCCTGGGACCGAAGCACAATGAGCTATTTCCAGCCCAGACCCCCACATTGAGCCCCTAAGTTCCACATTTTCCCTTCTCCACCTAGAAACGCCACCCATTTCAGAGTGTGGCAGGGGGACAGAAAAGCCCCCTTGAACCCAGCTGCGTGGCTCCGTGGCTGAGCGTCGACCAATGAACCAGGAGGTCAGGGTTCGATTCCCAGTCAGGGCACAGGCCCAGGTTGTGGGCTCGATCCCCAGTGTGGGGCGTGCAGGAGGCAGCCCATCCATGATCCTCGCTCATCATTCATGTTTCTCTCTCTCTCCCTCTCCCTGCCTCTCTGAAATCAACAAAAATATTTTAAAAAATAAAACACCTCCTTGATTCTGAGGACGGGAGGGAGGGGCACGGGGCAGTGCTGGGGAAGGCCTCAGGGAAGGGCTGAAGATGAACAACGCAGCTCTGAGCAATGCCCTCCCTCAGCAGACCTGCTCCAAGAACTACCCTCTACGAACCAATGAGAACGGCTCTTCTTTAGGAGGTCAGTTCGTCGGTTGCTTTAAAGGAAAGTGGCAGCATTTCAAGGCGAAGTGAAGAAATGCAACAGCATCTGGGATTTTCTCAAGCAGGAGAGAGTCCACAGCTGAGGGTCCTGAAGAGGTCCTGGCTCGGCCAGCAAATCGCTATGTGACCTTCGTCAGACAATCACCTTTACCTCTCAGTGCCTCAGTAGTCTAAGACCGTAAGTCAGCCATTGCCTCTGCCTGTGGCTGAAATATCACAAATTCCCAATGACTGGGGTTTGATTTGCTGAGCCCTTCAGAAATTCCAAGCCTGTAAGAGTCCCCTTGGGAGCATTGTTTTGGGGTTTCTGTTCCCTTCAGAGACTGAGAACAGGCACATGGTCTGGCCAGGGCTGTGCAGGTATGGATGTCACTTGAGGGAAAGTCATAGCAGTTCCCCCAATAGTTGGCTTTCAAACTTCCAAGATGGTATGAAAAGTAGGGAAACGTGAGAACTTTGAGTCCCAACCTACTTCTTACTAGCAGATCCCCCCTCTCGCCCCCCCCCAAAAAAAAACAGGTAATATGTCCCCCTTTGGAATAGTGGACTGAGATTTTAGGTTCCTTTCCCCATAAACCAGCATCCAAGATATTTCCATACAACAATCACAATGGAAGATGATGTCTGGAGACAGTTGTGTAAGGAACACAGACAGCATGGCTGCCACACCCCAGGGAATACATGTGCCACCATCCCCCATTCCATGCACACACACCCCCCACCGAGCCCCAGACACATAGTCACACACGACTTGAGAAGTCTTAAATCGCTCCCGTAAACCACTGGCCTTGCCCACCTCCTCCGAGGCACCAAGGACACAGAGAACAGGACTACCCTCTGGTCCAGCAGCAACCAGCCACTCAGACAAGCGGAGACCACGCACAGGGGCTCTTCCTGGCCTGGGGAATCGCCCGCGTCCCATCACTAGCCCCACCTGGGAGCTCATGCTACGCGCAGCTCTCCACACCTCAGCCGCCTCCCCGGGCACCAACAACCTCCTCACGTCTGCCTTTCCAAAAGGCCTTCCAGAAACATGGGGTGCAGGTCCCTGAACCACGGAGGACGGACCCGGGGACCAGGGACGACGGGGAGGGGAGCCCCCCTCATCCCTGCCGGCCTGAACGCTCTCGCGTTTATTGTTAATTATTTAAAAGGCGGAGACAGGGTACCCAAGACACCACAATAAAATGACATTCACTGTGAAATGACATGATTAATTCTTGGGTCTCACTGGAGGCTTCCAGCTGTTGCCACGACCAATTACCCGCCGAACCACCTGTCGGCGCCCCGGCGCGCGGCAGCCTACCTCCAGGACAGCGGTGGGCCCGGTGGTCCGTCAGGTCCGCCAGCGACTCGAAGTCCTGCTGGCAGTGATCGCAGGTGTAGAGGGACTCATCCTCCATGTCATCATCGTCCTCATTTCTCTCCTCCTGGCTGGTCACGCTGTTCCTGTCCTCCAGCGCCCGGCCGGCCTTCTGCTCACACTCGGGCTCTCCGTCCAGGCCTCCTGCCAGCGGGAAGAACACAGTCCCCGTGAGCAGCCGGGTTGGAGGAGAAGTGCCCGGCGCTCACGACAACACACTGAATTGCCCGGCCTCCCAGGGCGCGTTCTGGACACCTCTTGGTATGGTAATAATGGGGTTTGGGGGGTTTTTGTAGCATGCGGTGCCCTCATTCTCAACTAGATTCTTTAGCTCTTGGTGCACATCTCCTCTGGGGATTGCCCGTCACAGTCCCCCTGTGAATGGACGCTGGGGGCTGTGGCCCGTCAGGGAGGTGACAATGCCTTAGCATTTGTCTCCCCCAGACCCATTCTCCGACGCGTTTCTCCAGAGCCCCCATCCGCTGTTCCTGATGCCCTGAAATGTTTCGTTTCCCCCAAAGCCTTGCGATTTAGAGCAGGGACATCGCGTAGCCAAGTTCGTTCC